TTTTTTTTTTTTGCTATCGTATCGTCAAGCAAAACTTCAATAAGCTTATAATACTACTACAGTTTCTTACAGCTTCTCTACAGTACTTAATCTTTTTCGTTAAGCACTTCTGGACATTATCCCGTTTTTTTCTTAGAAAACAATAGAGAAAAAACTTTCTGTTATTGCTATCACATTTTAAATAATGCACTTTCACTGTTACTTTTAATTTTTACTTTTAGGCAGGTGGAATTTAAATGGCCAAAGCGTCATGTGCATTTCGTCTGCTTTTAAACACTTGGAGAGGTTGAACGATGCAAAGGAAGCTTTTCGTGTAAGACTTTATAGCCGTAGTTTAGAATATATATACTACTTTTTTTCTTGTTTTAGAAGCACAATAATGTTGTTTTGTGTGTATGTGTGTGTGTTCAAAAATATGGAGTCTATAATTCTATGTTTATAACACAGCGTTGCACAGAAATTTCATTAGCCAAATATTTTAACAAATAGAATTTTTGTGAATTGTATTGAAAACAGTCATCAATTTAACATCTTTTTTTTTTCACCCTGTTAAATTATAATAACAATTTTAAAGATATTCACTGACGAACCGCTGAATGCAATTGGAATGGTTGGCTGGAAACCATCGGAACCTGTCCAAAAGGAAAAACCAAAGCCCTTACTAATCATTGAAGAACCAGTGAAAGTTGTTGAGAAAAAGGAAACAGTTGCTTCACCAAGAGAATTGTTGCCACACCGATCAGCTGGATATGGTTTGTTTCAAAATCAGTTGTAATTATAAGTAAATAAATACCTTATTTGCTGCTTTGGAATTTTGTAATTTTCTGTTACTTCTGTGTCACTAAAATATGACTGTAACTGAAATATGGCTAAGTATCCGAGAACTGTTAGATTTTACAGTTCTTTGGTAGCAACTTTACTGCGACATGTGTTAAAACAAACGTACCACAATTATTGATCATTGATGTTTCTTTAGCTTTGAAATTACTATTTCAAAATCAAACGCAAAAAAAAAAGAAAAAACAGTCTAACAGCATTAGACATGACAAAGTGTAAATGATCAAAACGTCGTTTCGTTTTCTTTTTTAGGTTTAGCACATCAAAAGCGTAAATTAACTGTTCCGGATAGGTCAAGATCGGTATCGCCAAACGTTGAACCGAACGTCGAGAGTAAAAAAGGTGAAAAAACTGTTAATATTTTTGAGTTAAATAAACCAAAAATTGACCAACATCAACAACAACAAGAAGAAGAGCAGCAGGAACAGCAACAACGACAACAGTATAAATGGATACTGACTGAGGAGCATAAGAGTTTGATACGTGTTGAAGAAAATGAATATGAGTTTAACGATCAACCTAAACGCAGATACGATCATGAAAATTCATCGCTTATTTTTGTCTACTAAATTCAATAAACTATCGTTTACGTTAGGTTTTTTCCTTTTTTTGTTTCTTAGCAGTTATCTGTCTTTAGCTAATTTTTTTTTTCTAGCTTCGTCTTTAGACTTCTCGGAAAAACAGTTAATTTTTGTTTTACAGTTTTTTAATGCATTTTTTCTTTTGCGGTGACAGGTTCAATAATTTAATTTATTTACTTTTAAACATAATTACTGTAAGCAGCAAAAAAAAAAAATTTAGTATAATTAGGTTTTTTTTCTCTTAGTTTGTGTATTTGTATAGAAAAATAAACAAAGGTTTTGGTATGTTTACAGAACGGAAATAAATTGCAACATTGAGCGAAAAACAAAAAAGAAAAAACTGTTACCAACTTTTTTCATAAGCTTTTTTCCTTCTTTGCTTTTTTCAATTTTATTTTATCGTTTTCTTTTTCTTCAAAGTAATTGAAGTAAACAGTGAAAAAAGTTAGTTTAGCAAAAGAAAAAGTAAGAAGCATAATAATAATAGTAGCCTAAAATATTTGATTTATTTTTTCACCTTTTTATTATCAATTTCGATTTTAACCTTTGATCTTTACTACAACTTTTTTCGTTTTATTCTTTGTCTCATTTAAGAAAACTGCTTTTTTTTGTTCTTCTTTCACTACTTTTGTCAGTAAACATTGAGCGGTTTTTAGGTTATGCATCAAAAATTATCTCAACTTTAAAGACTCTATTTTCTATTTTTTCTGTTTTTTTATTACACATTAAATGTCTGA